GAAAAAAATCCTTATGATATTGAATCATAAATAAATAGAGGTATGAATCAATAGCATTCTTAAGGAATTACATTATTAAAGAGAAATCTGCTTAAAGAGGCTTTAGAACACTTTAATACAGCAATTGAAAAATACCCTGAATGTTCAGATTTATACCATCGCAAAGGTACTAATTTACACAATTCTTAAGCAAACACCCTTGATAAAATGAATCGATTTGAGGAAGCATTAGAATTCTATGATAAAGCTATTTCTAAAAACCCTGAGAATTCGATTTAATATTTTAATAAAGGTATATTTGGTGGCATTTTTAGCAAATACATTAAGTAAAATGAATCGATTAGAAGAAGCATTAGAATATTTGGATTATGCAATTTCAATTAATCCTGAAAACTCAGATTTTTATAATAATAAGGGTATTAATCATTTTAAGTATAAGCATTGGTTTTAAGTGATCTAAATAGATTTTTAGAAGCCTTGGAAAACTATAATTTGGCAATTCAGCTAAATCCTGAAGATAGTAAATTATACTGCAATAAAGGTATTTATTAATTGTATTTTCAAGCATCTACTTTAATAGTAATGGGTCGATTTGTTGAAGCTTTACAATTATATGATATTGCTATAAGTTAAAATCCTAAAGAATCAAGCTATTATTTCAATAAATGTATAAATACATTTCAGTTTTAAGCACAAACATTAAGTGAAATGAATCGATTTGAAGAAGCATTACAATATTTAGATTATGCAATTTCAATAAATCCAGTTAACTCCGATTTCTATAATAATAAGGGTATTAATCATGTGATATTTAAGCATTGATTTTAAAAAATTTAAATCGATTTAATGAAGCCTTGGAAAACTATGATTTTGCAATTTAAATAAATCCGGAAGATGGTAAATTATATAGCAATAAAGGTATTTAATAATTGAATAGTCAAGCATCTAATTTAGAGAAAATGAATCGATTGGAAGAAGCATTGGAATAACTAAATATTGCCATTTAAATAAATCCTGAAGAATCAAATTTTTATATTAACAAGGGTAAAAACAACAATAATATTAAAGCTTGCATTTTAAGCAAATTGAATCGATTTGAAGAAGCCCTTAAATATTTTGATTTCGCAATTTAAGCTAATCCTGAAAATGAATAAGTTCATCAATATAGAGGTAAAAATATATTAATTTTAAGCAAACACATTATTTAGAATGCAACAATTTGATTAAGCTTTGAGGCACTATAATTTAGGCCTTGAAAAAAATCCTGATGATATAAAATCATAAATAAACAAAGGTATGAATCAATAGTATTCTTAAGGACTTACATTATTAAAGAGAAATCAGTTTAAAGAGGCTTTAGAACACTTTAATACAGCGATTGAAAAATATCCTGAATGTTCAGATTTATACCATCATAAAGGTACTAATTAACACAATTCTTAAGCAAACACCCTTGATAAAATGAATCGATTTGAGGAAGCATTAGAATTCTATGATAAAGCTATTTCTAAAAACCCTGAGAATTCGATTTAATATTTTAATAAAGGTATATTAGGTGGCATTTTTAGCAAATACATTAAGTAAAATGAATCGATTAGAAGAAGCATTACAATATTTGGATTATGCAATTTCAATTAATCCTGAAAACTCAGATTTTTATAATGATAAGGGTATTAATTGTGTGATATTTCAGCAATGATTTTAAGTGAACTAAATCGATTTAAAGAAGCCTTAGAAAACAATGATTTGGCGATTCAGGTAAATCCTGAAGATAGTAAATTATACAACAATAAAGGTATTTATTAATTTTTTTTTTCAAGCAATTACGTTAGGTAAAATGAATCGATTTATTGAAGCGTTGAGATTTTGGGATATTGCCATTTAAAAAAACCCTGATGAATCATTCTTTTATATTAATAAGGGTAGATACTACAATAATTTTAAAGCTTGCACTTTAAGCAAATTGAATCGATTTGAAGAAGCCCTTAAATATTTTGATTTAGCAAAATAAGTTAATCCTGAAAATGAATAAGTTTATCATTATAAAGGTATTTGTAGAGCAATTTTAAGCAAATACTTTATTTCAAATGAAAAAATTTGATTAAGCTTTGAAATATTATAATTTAGACCTTTAAAAAAATCCTGATGATATACAATCATAAATAAATAAAGGTATGTATCAATAGAATTCTTGAGGGATTACATTATTAAAGAGAAATCAGTTTAAAGAGGCTTTAGAATACTTTAATACAGCGATTGAAAAATATCCTGAATGTTCAGAATTATACCATCATAAAGGTACTAATTTACACAATTCTTAAGCAAACACCCTTGATAAAATGAATCGATTTGAGGAAGCATTAGAATGCTATGATAAAGCTATTTCTAAAAATCCTGAAAATTCGTTTTAGTATTATCATAAAGGTATATTTTGATTGCATTTTTAGCAAATACATTAAATGAAATGAATCGATTAGAAGAAGCCTTAGAATATTTGGATTATGCAATTTCAATTAATCCTGAAAACTCAGATTTTTATAATAATAAGGGTATTAATCCTGTGATATTTGAGCATTGATTTTAAGAAAATTAAATAGATTTAATGAAGCCTTAGAAAACTATGATTTTGCAATTTAGATAAATCCGGAAGATAGTAAATTATATAGCAATAAAGGTATATATTTGTACATTTATAAGCAAATACATTAACTTCATTGAATCGATTAAAAGAGGCCCTAAAATATTATGATTACGCCATTGTAAAAGATCCAAAAAATTAAATTTTTCATCATAATAAAAGTAACATTAATTACAATTTAAGCAATCATTTTAAAAAGGCTGAGTCAATTTAAATAAACATTTAAATATCATGAATCCGATCCTAAATAATCATAATACTTCTTTTGATAGGTATAACCTATGCAATTCATAAACTCTAGGACCCATTTGAAAGATTGTCATGTATAGATAATTAAAATTAAAATGAGCTTAAAATTTTCTAAATAATATAATGTTGTTTCTTACATCCAGATTGTCAATAAAGACTCTTCAAGATTATTTTTATTCTAATCATCATCACATTATAAATAGATATTTTTAATGTTCTTACTTCTTGCGAGCTCAACGAACTCTATGAGTTGATATCTTATTTTTTACTTTTTCACAGTGAATAGAGACCAAAAGTTATGATTGCTTTTGTAATATTTATTTTTTAATTTTTTAATAGATAGGCTTTTTGTATTATTAAATTTGAATTTGACAAATATTATATGAAATATTATCCATATCCAATTAATATTTCCCTTACCATATAAATATATATTGAATTATACAATAAATGCATTATATTTAATAGTCCAAGTTAAATTAATAATTTTACAAAATAAAGAAGTATCAAATTTAAATATATAATTAAAACGAAACTAAAATTTAACACTCATTGCATTTTATATCTCCTTGAATTTTTCATTTAAACAATCTAATTTTTAACATAATGATTTTAATATTTTTATACACTTCAACATTTTTTTTTTCATCATTTTTTAATACAAATACTCTTCAATTCCATGCATTAATCATATAAGCCATGATTATGGTGTGTTAAATGGTTAAACCAAAATCTCAAACCATTTTTACAAGTCTTAAATTTTCCAAAATTAAATTTATTTCTATCAAAATAACCTCTATCAGGAAAGTATATTATTCCATATAAATGTTACACAATTAAAAATAAATTATTTTGTATTCAACTTTTCTAAAACCTTTAATCTTATAGATTTAATTATCCTTAAAATAGTGTTTAAACTATCCATGAATTACTTATTTATATTAATTAATAGTTTCGAAAAGATTGCTTTAACCATATATCATGTAGACTAATTCTAATTTAATTAACATATTAAAATATTAGAATTTAATCTCCAAACTCCATTTCTCACTCTAAAATAAGAAATATAACCCAAACTGGGGAATCTAAAATAAAAAACCCAAAGAATACTTTGAAAAAGCATTTATAATAGAAACACGGTCAGTTTTAACAACATATTATTTATTCAAAGTGATGACCAATAAGGTATAATGAATATAAAATCAAATGTGAAGATTGGACAAACTTCTTAATAACAAAAATTTAATTATAGCTTCGAAAGATTTAAACATATTTATATTGTCTACCTTTGATTCTAAAAATCTTCAAAATAAAATGTGAATGATTAATGTTTTATAAGCACCTAATCTTATTAATGAGCTTAAGAAAAATTTACTCCTGAAAGCTAATTAATTATAACATTAGAAGACTTAAATAATTAAATCGATTATAAAATTATAAAGAAGAAATTATATAATTTTCTGTTAGTAAATTAAAATTCTGTTTAAAATGTTCACAGTCTTTTGTAATAAATTTTATACTCCAAGGAAATTCAAATCTCAAATTATTTTGCAGATAATATCGATATGAAAGATTACTATAGTGGGACTTAAAGATTTTTCGCTACAAAATAATAATTAATAAAACTAATGGGAAGAATTTTTTTAATTTGGTTTATAATCCATTTCTTAGATCTAGTTAAAACAATTTTTGATAAAAATAGTTTACCAAAAGTTACCATAATTCATCTTGTTGATGATTATTTTTGTATGGTTTGCTATAAAATGGTCAAAATGAGGTAGTAACAGGTTTAAAAATTTGTTAGGTACGCATTAAGGAAATCCACAAAGTTTCTTGAAGTTAGATATATATAATGTTTATAAGCTCTGAAATATATTTTAGTAATTCTGGGACGGATAGAAGGACAAATACAGAGTATGTGTGAATGTAAGAAGGTTTAGAATAATTAATGTTTCTGTTTCCAATTCAATATTTTAAAGATCCACGGAAACCTTCCACTTAAAAACTTTAAATCTTACTCTCTACTTTATCAAGCAAAAAATTAAATTTTCTCTTGTTATTTATATTTACTTTGAGGTATTTATAAATTTTAACAATAGGGAAGCTTGAATATTGTTTTATAAACAGCATTTATGATTTTTAATGAAAAAATATTCCAAATTTTTTCAAATTTACAACAAGTATTATTCAGAAATTAGAATCAATTGTTAGAAGAACGGTTGTATATTTCTATGATCATTAGCAATTCTATGTTGTCTGCAAAATCATAAGAAGTATTTTTTAAATTAGACCTTTGTTTTAATGAGACTAGAAGTCTTCAAGATAGTCTGAGAGACTCTGAGATGATAGAGGAACACCTTAGAGTAATATAGTCCACGGTCAGAAGGCCAACATCACTGTAAAAGGTGATCCTCCTGTTCCGCCTAAGAGGAAAAGAGGCAGAGGGAAATGATTAAATGGTTTTTCATTTCATAAATATTATTATTACTATTAAACCATTTTTGGATAAAAGTATCAATTATTCATAATTTCTCTGCATAACATATTATTTAGTTTACAACTTAATACAATCCAAAAGTCAAAGGATTCTTCCAAGACTTTTATTATATAACTTTTTGTTTTTGTCTTTAAATTCTGCATTTTAAACAATTTATTATTGATTAGATATATTTAGGCATTGAATTATTTTTAATGAGGGATTTTACAGACTTTTATTTTCTGAAGGTCTCTACAAGTCCATTAGGCGATTTTTTTGTAGATGAGAATTATTCCTATCCACAAAAAAAATTTATTTTATAAATAGTTCGCAATATCAATATTTCACATGAAAAATTAAATCATAATAAATGCATGAAAATATTGAGTAGCATAAAAAAGTAAAAAATATAAATAATTGTGAATAATGAATAATAGTATTATGTTAAAATAAATTACCAACTCTTTGGTGATAATATTTTGAGTTCAAGAAAATTAGATTCTCAAATTATTTTGCATTCAATTTTATATGGTGACTATAGTTTACCAATAACAACAAATTAATAACATATTATAATCATTAAATCATTTCTTTTGTTTTGATAAAAAAACTATATGAATGATCAAAAGGTAGAACTATGAAAATTGCACTATTAATTATTAATTGCAATACATGTTTATCATAAATTCTTTCTTTAGTGCAAAATGATATGAAAATTTTGATATCTTGCCATTCTGACTTTAACATTCAAGGAGAACTGTATGGCTCATTTGAATGAAAAGAATTTTATAAAATATTGATTATTTAAAAAATAAGTAAATTATTCATTTATATGCAAATATTATAACTAATAAGAATACATCTATTCTACTTTAGAATATAAAATTTTAATTAAAAATTAAATGAGTGTTGCAACAAAGGGTTTGGTTGAATTTGTAAATCCATGTAATAAAAAATATACCTATTTAGATAAATTACCAAAATTTGTTAAACAAATTCATTTATAAATGAAAGAAATTGAGGGTAGATAACCATTTGGTTAAGGATTATACCATTGTAACAATTATGAGAATCTAATTAAAAGAATGGCTAATACTAGATAACAATATAGATAATCATTATAAATAGAAACAAGAAAATAATTAGCATAAAATGAATATTAAGCATGGTCAGATTATATTAAGGAACGAACACTAGAATTACCAGTATAGCATTAAGTATCTGGAAAATAATTAAATGAATTGAGGAGATCATATGAAGTTTTTGTTGCTAAAGGAGAAAATGGTTTAAGACCATCTGAATTACTCAATGTTTTCAATGTATTTGAAAAATTAAATAAAAGGATTACACAAGAGTTAATTAATTTACAATACCAGTCGATAATTGGTGTGTTTTATAAATGGTACATTATAATATGGGTTATCCAATGAATATGAATAGATTATTAACATTTGAAGAAATAGCTAATTTAGTTTAAATAAAAGTTTTAGCAACTTATGAAAGATCTCTTGGTTAAGATCTATTATTTAGAGAGATTTGTTCATATGGTTATTGGAACTTATTTGATTAAAGTAAAGGATATATGAGTATAAAAGAGTTTAGTAATTTTGTAAAAGTACAAATAATTTTTGTTAAATGATAGATATTTAAGTTTAATGTTGAGCCAACATTAGGAGGAATATTAAAAGAGTTTGGATTTGCAGCAAATCTATTTTAAGGTGAATTTGTAAAAGAAATAGATCCAAAAGAAGACATAGTGAGATTCGATTTCTTCAGATATTTATTTTTAGAGAGAAATTTATGATTATTATAATTATAATGTAAAATAACAATAGAATGATCTGGAGGAAAATTGATCCATCAGGAAAATAGCCAGGAGACAGGGCAGCGCATTCTTGTGATCTAATTATGGGGAAACTATTTATATTTGGGGGATGGAATGGAATGAATGCCCTTGCTGACATTCACATTTATGATCTGAATTTAAATTAATGGTCAGAATTATAAACAAATGGAGAACTCCCTTCTTATAGAAATAATCACACAACAGCAGTTTATTAAACAAAGTTATATGTTCATGGAGGACATAATGGAAATACATGGCTAGATGATCTTTATTATTTAGAAACATAAGGATAACATGGTTAGGCTAGTTGGTACAAAGTACATCCACAAGGTTAGATACCTACTGCTAGGGCTTGTCATTCTTTGAATATAGTTTAAAAAAAACTTTACTTATTTGGAGGTTATGATGGTTAAGAATGTTTTAATGAGATAGAAATATATGATATTTAAGAAAATAGATGGATATAACCAATCGTTAGTGGAACAATCCCTACTGCCAGAAATGCACACACAATGACCAGGTAACTAAATAATTATAGTAGATATAAGGAAAATTTATATTTGTTTGGTGGCCATTCTGGAGCATAACACTTATAGGATTTACATGTATTCAATACTTATAAGTTGGAATGGACTCAAGTTATTACCAAAGGGACTTTACCTAAAGGTTTAAGAGGACATACAGCTAATTTAATTTAAAATAATATTTATGTATTTGGTGGATATGATGGTTCAGGTAGATCGAATGATCTTTTTATTTTTAATTTTTAAACATATTAGTGGGTCATTCCCAATCATCATGGAACTGGAACCTATTTATAAATGGAGGAAGTAGCATTATCTCAGATTCCCTAACCAAGATAGAGACATTCAGCAACTGCCACAGGTATTCATTATTATTGAGTAATTAGAAAATGATTTGATCTATATCTTTGGTGGATTTGATGGTAACAAATGGTTAAATGATCTCTATGTTCTTGATGTGGGATTATTAGAAAATCGTACTATATAAGAAGAAAATTATTAAAGAGTTATTTCAAACATTCATAAAAATTTATTTAATAATTAAGAACTTAGCGACATAACATTTTAAATTTGTAATTAGAAGATTTATGCACATAAAAGTAATAAAAGTTAAAATAATTTTTAGTTTATTTGGCTGCTCAATCTCCTTAATTCAAAGCCCTCTTTTTCTCTGATACAAAAGAAAGCGAGTAACAAATATTTGTCATAGAAAATTACACTTACAAATCCTTTTATATTTTTCTACTCTTTGTTTACACTGGATTTATTAATGTTGCTGAATTGGATATTGAATTAATGGGGGAGATTTTAAGTATTATTTTATATATTTATAATAGGTTTGGCTGATCAATATCTAATTGATGGCCTTAAGAATCTTATGCAAAAAAGTATAAAAAAATATATAAATAATGAAACAGTTTGTGATTTATTAATCTTTGCATAAAAATGTTCAGCTCATTCACTTAAAAATGCTTGTATGAATCATTTACTCAAGAATATAAATATTATATCTGAATCTCCACAATATGAAAAACTAGAATTGCAACCCTCCTTACTAACTGAAATAACAAGAGCATTACTATAACATAAAGAATGAATTAATTTTGATATCATTAATGAATTCATATTAAATTATAATTAGAAATTTCAAAGTTTAATATTTAATATGATTCATTAACTTTATTATATTTCAAGATTATCATAATTTATTGCATATTTATATTTTTACAAATAAATTAAAATATGATTTAATTACTAATATGCTGTTGAAAAAACAAAATTTGAAAAAAATTAATTTATGAGAAAAATAAAGTAGATTTATATTTCATTATTTTTTAGAATACAAAATAAATTGGAAGATTTCATTTAGTAATACTATTCTAATTATTTTATAAGTATTATTTTTAATTTTCATAATTTAGAAGTATTAATTTTGATTTATAATATAAATTATATATAATCTACCATTTTCTTAAAACTAATCTAAAAAATAAAATATTTTATTAAGAAATTCGATTTAAGAAAGAAAAATTTTATGATGTTCTATAAACATAAAGTAAGAGTAGAAGGATTTTATGAAATAAAATAAAATAATATTCATAAATAATTGAAAAATTGTGATTAAATAAATATTAAATTAAAGAAGGTTTAAATTAATTGAATCAAATTTCATAAAGATAGAAAATGAGTAAATCTAAATTGATATATGAAAGGATGAATTTTCAGGTTCGTGACAAATGATAATAATTAAACTTAATTAATTGATGAATATGATATTTTTAATAACTATATTGAATTTAAATAGCTTAATTCTAATATAAAAACAGTTATTATTTATTATGTATTTAATAAAAGATAAACAAATACAATAATAATATTTATAACAATAATTATTATGATTACCTAGATTAGTCAAGTAGAGGGAAGTTTATCAAAAATAACTAATCCTTCTTATCAGTAATAATGAAATAATTTTTAGTACTATGTAAGGTTCTATGAGACATCTTTCAATAAGTCAATCACAAATAAGTCGATCTAAAATTTATACATCTTCTCATCCTGAATCTCAATTTCTACAATTAGATAATGACATTCTTGAAATATATGATGAATTTGAGAAGAATTATAATGTAATTTAAGAAATAGACAAAACTAATACTAAGATTGAAACAAAATAAAAGAATATTGAATAACCAAAAATTAAATCACAACAGAAAAAGTTATTGAAAACTTTCGATGGATTATAACAATCTGATCTTGAAATTGAATTTATAAATAGAATTTAAATAGTCAGATTTAGATTTTATTACTTTAGAATAAGAATTAAAGGAAAATAGTGTAATAGTTAATGTAAATTAAAATTTTAGCTCCATTACAGATATTATTAAGTTTCCCTTAAAAAATTACAAGTACTTAATACAAGCTATTTGTTTCAACCTCAATAGAATTCCCTAATAAATTTAATGCTGATTAATAAGTTTAAAGTAGATTTGTAAAGATCAATTCTAAACAGAATTCTAAATTTTTTTTTGAAGAATATGTGTATTTAACATTTTATGGTGAATTTGATGCCATCATAGGTATGTAAATAACTTTTGGAGAGTAATACACAGCATCGAATGGATAAAAATAAATTTAATCAATGATTAATTTTGATATCTTTCATGAAAGAAGAACCATACATCCAAAAGATAAGATTCTATAAAATATTGAAATGGCTAAAACTAAGATGTAGTCTAAATTAGATGAAATGATAAAGGCACAACGTAATATAAATAAGTATAATTTAGATAGACATACAAAATCTTAAGAGACTATTTAGAGATCAAAGTTAATCTAGAAGGAAGTGAGATAAACAAGATTAATTAAATTATTAGTCAAAGATTAAATAGCATAATTTAGAGAAGTAGAAAAAGTTCATTAAAAAGAATAATAATTATAAATACTTGTAAAAAAAAATTGGATATTGATAACAACAATATTCAATGTCAGTAGATAGATTCATAGAAGATTAGAAGTAAATATTGTATTATTTTGAGAAAGTGAGACGAAAATATAAAATTGCAGCAAGGGCTAAATTATTAGTATGGTAATTACACACAAAAGCATTAATTGAAGTAAGAAGATATGGAGATAATCCATTTATAAGATCTTTAAGTAAATCATCTCTTGTTTTATCTACTTTTACATCTTACATCTAAGAGAAATGTCTTTAAAAAGCTGAAAAAATATTCAGTCAATTCTTAGTAGATATCATTCTTTATTAAACATTCATTAACAAGCATATATAATTGATTTCTAAAAGTATCTATTATAAATCAATCTAATTAGTAAAATGCATATAAAGAAATTATAGAAAACTCAGATTAGTCAGAAAGAATTTTAAAGATAAATTTATAAAAGCTTTTAAAGAAAAGATTTATGCATTGTATCAAGGAAGAGGAAGTGATTAAAAACCTAAAATCAATATTGAATAGTATATTTCTTTGTAATTCTAGACATATAATATCTAAATTATTTGAAGAATATTCAGCAAAAATAAAACATTAATGGATTGATTCTCGAAGAGCTATTAATGTTTTGTCAGTATTAAAAAAAGTATAATATTAAAAATAAATGATAGAGCTTTTCAGTATAAAGATAAGATATCAAATTATATTCATTACCAAATGAATAAGAGATGTAATTGATAATTTAATAATATTACAAAATTAAAAAATAACTTAGCTGAAATTTCAATATTGTTTATTTATGTCCAGTTATATGTTAATTATCTCATAAATCTAAAATTCTTTTATTAATATCTTTGTTTTTTATAATGTTTAAAGGATGTTAGCATTTTATATAACATTATATTAATTTAATTAACTGATTTATCTGAAAAGTATTTGAACAAATTAACTCAAAAAAGACTATTATCTTTTTTATTAATTTAGAAATTATTAATTTAAAATATAATAGTCTTTAAGTTAAGTAAAAAATTCTTAACATAGATTAATTTAATAGATGAATATATTAAAATATTCGTTGGGATTATAATTTAATTGGAGACTGCATTCAAAAATTTAGTAGTTAATATTGAATTAATTATTAAATCATCAAATAATGAACTCAGAATGAAGTCTATTAATTTTTTATAAGTTATTAAATCAGATTATATAAATGTAAATATACTAATTATAAATTTATAGGTTATAATTAATAATTATTGTAAATTTTCCTTATTTAGCTAGTGAAAGCTGCCTAATAAAATTAAGCTTTTATTAAAATTAGATATTAGATTATTAAATAAATAATTAAGGAATGGTTATCTATTCCCCATAAACATTAGGATTATATTCAGAACCAATAAAAGTTTCTAATATTTCCTTATTTTCCATTAAAATTCAATCTGCAACTTGTATTATATATGTTAACAAAATGTATAAATCAAACATTATTCTTATATTATTAAATAATGATTTATTAGATTAAGGAGTATTGATTTATTAATATATCAAAAATATTCAAATTATTATTAATAGACTACAATTATAAGACATCCTAGATATTTTAATATAAATTCCTTTTATCATGTCATAGTAGGATTATCTATACTAAAATTAAGAATAAAATAAATAAATTTAAACAAAATTACATACACTAAATTTCAGATTATAAAATAGTATTTTATTTTGATTTAAAAAATTAGAATCCTTGTATAAAAAAATATAAGTTATTTCATGTTTATATAGTGCAAATTTTGAATTATAAAATAATTAATATATAAAATTATATAGAAAATGGATGTTCAAAATGATGGAGAATAATAAGGTGATAATAATGAGAATGATAGAAATACAATTCCAAAAATTACAAAACTCTTCTCAAGAGCAATGGATTAATTTAGATTGAGAGTGTTTTTCTTATTCCTTGAGAGATTGTATATAATAATCAGCATGTCGATTATTTTAGTTTTATTATCATTACAAAATTGTGGGTGGAATGATTTACATTATTGGGTTTTATTTAGCAGTATACAGGCAGTTTTTAGCTTAATCTTGTATGGATAATTGTTTCATTTTTCCAATATTCAATCCATATAATAACATTTAGCTTTTCATTATGTTTAAATAGTATTTGTTCCAATAAATGAAGTTACAGATCATCCAGTAGCTCCAGAAGGTATATAATTATTATTATGAAAGTTTATGATCCTACTGCAAACTTATCTACTATGGAACTTGATAAAAAGGCAGATATAATGCAATTATAAATAAGATAAGAGATTGTTAATTAGAGTAAATTTTGCAAATACAATAACATATTCAGTAATGTTACAAATTAGGCAATATTTATATGGACAATATATTATATTGTAGCTAATCCTTATGAAAGTAGTAAAGAAGTTGATTGCAATAAATGGCCAATTATCCAAACTTATATTTATGGATCTTTTTTGTTCTTATAATATTCTTAATATTATTTACTGGTTGCTTTGGCATTAGTTATCCTGCCTTTTATTTTGATTTATTTATTAATTCGATGTTTTACAGACAGAAAAAAGAAATAAGAAGCCTTGAGAGCATTAAATGATTTACAAAAGAAAAAGATTTTGTATAAGCCAAACATTCTTGAAGGAGAACAAGAATGTTCAATATGTATGTAGCCTTATCAAACTGATGATGAAGTTTTATAAATGCCTTGTAGTACACTTCATCATTTTCATAACACATGTATATCTGCATGGCTATAAATTTAATCAACATGTCCAAATTGTAGATAATAATTATTGCCAGAGAATTTATAACCACTTCTTCAGCAACAACAACAACAATAACAAGAAGAATTATGATATATATAAAATAAATGAACTTTAACTTATTGAAACTAAATCGATTAATCAAAATAGATAATATTTATACTAAATTTCAAATATATTACATTTTAACAAATTATTAAATCTTTTTATTATGTTATTATCTTTATTCATTGTATACATATATTTTAATTTAAATATTTTACTAAAATATATATTATTCAAGGATTTTAATCTTTTAATATATGAGATTTTTTAGAATCTATCTATATAATATACGTCTGATAAATCTAATAATAATTCAGATCAATTATTTTAACTATTTTATCATAATATTTTCTATGTTAACAATATTTATGTATTATTATAAAAAGATATGTATTTAAAATATAAATACTTTAAAAAGATTGAGTAAAATATTATTAGATATTTAATAAATATGAAGACTTTTAAATATTTGATAGAATTATATTATAAATATATGGAATATTGTTAATGAAACAACTACAAGAATTTAATCAGTTTACAAGTGATTATATATTGATTTATTATAAATATTTATACATATCATTATTAAATTCCGCAATGAGTGAGAGAAAAGTAGTTGGAAAAAAATACGAATATCAAACAAATGATAAATTGGGCTCAGGGGCATTTGCAGAAGTTTATTTAGGGAAAAATAAATTAACTCAAGAAGCTGTCGCAATCAAAGTTATTAAGAGAGCTGTATTAGCTAAATATGGGTATGGTGTAAATAAAATAATTAAGTGATGAAATATTGTAATAAATACATTAGGAGGTGGAAATATTATAGGAATTAGTAGAGGCTTCTAAAACTGATGCATGTCCATTTATCAATAGAATTTATGAATGCTTAGAGACAACAAATAATATTTATATTGTGTTAGAATTTTGCAATTAAGGAACTTTACTTGATCAAATTAAAAAAACAAAGAAATTAGAAGAAAATGAAGCTTTATTTATTTTATTTTAATTATTATAGGCACTTACATTATTAGCTAAAAATAATATTGCACATAGAGATATTAAACCAGAAAACATTTTCATAAAGGATGGAGTCTATAAATTAGGAGATTTTGGATTTGCTGGTTAAAAATCAATGTATTAGACTCATTTGGGAACTTTTCCATATATGGCTCCAGAATTTTTCACAAGTGATTAATATGATTCAAAGGTGGATGTTTGGGCATTAGGATTACTTAGTCATGAAATGCTTTTTGGAGAAATATATTTTATAGGAAAAAGTCAATTTGAAGTTTAATAGAAGATATTAACTAAGTAATATAATTTGGATGATTAAAAATATGCAGTTTCTGATGGAGTAAAAGAATTATTGAAATAAATGATTACAAAAGATCCTTAATAAGTAATTTAGATAATTATATTAATTAGAGAATAACAGCTAGAGATGCATTAAAATTTAGTATATTTGATAAATTTAGAACAGATCCAAGATATATAACAATAATGGAAAATGAGAAATAATTTATGAAATAATTTGATGATGATACTTCTTAAAAATCAAGTTAATAAATATAAATAGAAGAGGAGGAGAGATAAAAAAGAGAAGAAGAAGAAAAAGCAAAATAATTATAAATGTAATTAGATTCTTAAAAGGCTTAATAATTATAATAAGGAATTAAATAAATAACTGATGGTATTAAAGACAAAGTAAATGGTATATTGTTAATGGTTTAATTATCTGATTTTTTGAGTTAAAATGTAATTGAGATTTGTCGTTTTGAAATATTGTATATTTTAAAATAAGCAGCAATTTTGATTTCTTAATTAAAAGAGAAAATGGATGATAAATATATTTTTGGAAAACAAGATCATATTAAATTTGATGTAGATTAAGAAATATGGAATGTATTTTATACAGATGCAAGGTAATTTAATTTATTTTCTATTTATAGTGTAAAATAATTGATTGATGATATAGAAGGTGATCGAACTTAAATTAGAAAGAAATATATAGATTACTTAAATTACATCAATAATTTTACAAATACAAATTATATAGAAAGTATACATTATACAGAATAAATTACAAATGTAAATTTTACTAAATTAATTGAACATTAATTATATAATGAATAATTATATCAAAAGATAAAATTCTTTAAGGAAGATAAAGATAAAGTTAAAGATGAAAATATAAGAAAACTAATTAATAAATGTTTACTTTGGATGTATGCAGCCTATGAATATTAAAAATTATGTTCTGGATAATTAATGGATATTATGAAATTCATGGAAGCTTTGAATAATGATAATACTGAAGAAATGAAAAATTGTATAAAATGGCCATGAACCAATATCATATAAAAATTAATTAGATTTTATAGAATAAAAATAATATTAATTTTACTATTTAATATAAACTCAAAATGAATTTCCTTAGTCTTTATTTAATGGTCCTTTGATATAATGTTTTGGTGGCCAATATATTGGATTGTAATGTGACTTCTGTCTATAATTCTCTTCAACGAATTGAATGATTAAAAAGATACAAATGAATAAAGTAAGATATACTAATCTTTCAACAAATCTATTGATATATTAATAAATTACGGGTCTAATTTTTGATGTTTTACTAAAACTTTTAGTTTCAAGATCAAAACCATAGTCAATCCAACAAATGTCATACCAAGACTTAGGAATAATCCTTCAAATCCAAGTTATTATCTCCCACTATTTGTTTTCCATTATAAACCTCCTCTATTGTTTTGAGTAAAGAATGGAACATTATGTATAATATTATATACAACTCCAGCCAAACAAGTGATGAATATGATTACTGATCCAATAAACCATAATTTTGGATTTAAAAACATAGGTCTTGCTATTATAAATACAAGAGCTCCTAATGTCAATGCTCCTAGTAGAGCACCTATAACAGTAAGTGCTTCAGAGGTTGATGCCTTATAATCAACCTATCTTCCAGTCCTCTTGTTTATGAATTCGAGGAATTTATGAGCTGTGACTGTACCATCTGTATAGGAAATAGTCCATTTCATGTCTCTCAAATATCTTTCTCTTTCATCTTATGGGACAAATACTATATGAGGTTAAGAGACAAATAAGTTTGGTGCTGATATAAATCCAAGTTATTCAAAGACTTGCTTATTTTTATCATTAAATGTCATTGTGGCAAAAAAGACAGCTCTTTTGGATTCACTCTTATATAATGCTCCTGAATCAGCATAGAATTTGGCTACTTTTTGGTAATGTTCATTAAGATCATTACAAAGTTTACAACTAGGAGCTACAAAATAGATAACAATATCATATGGACGTGGAAATTCCATTGTGTAATAACTTGAAAATGAATATAATAGAGATACAAATATCCAGTTGAATTCAATTCAATTATTCCATCTCTCAATTACATTTCTCTTAATTCATTTGTTTTTTATGAAGCCAGAGAGTCTGCATTGATATAATTGGCCAAGAATAATAAAATTATAATCATTAATGTTTTTATTAGTATTTATTTAACTTTTAATAATTAGCATTAATTGTATTAGCTTTCATTTCTTAAAGTCTGAGAATGTCTCTAACTCTTTTTTGAACTGTATTTTATTATTTCAATTTAGTTTATAACTTTTATGATCCTAAATACAATTAGTCCAATAATGCTTCAGTTATAGATGCATTAGACATATCCAAACCATCATCATCATCATTCTCTATAATATCCATTGATTTAATTCTATTATGTTTAACTATTCCTTTTAATTTATCTTTTGTATTTTGTGGTCTTTAATATTTTTTTGTAACTATACTAGTTGCCATCTTTGGATTTGCTACTTCATTAATTTAATTGATTAACAAATATTCCTTCAATCTCTATTATTATTATTATTCTAAAGGATTTTGCAATCTCATCATTGGAGTCTCTCTATTCAAACCATTAGATTAACAACTCATTGAAGTACTATAAAATGTACTTGCACTTGTCATAGGTTTCCATTTGACAATCTTTCTTTGTTTCTTTTACTCTAAATATTAATCAAACAATTATTTCTTATGTAAATAAGTATCAAGTAATTAATTATAATCTTTGTCTGATAAATTTGAAGTATTTGGTAGATTCTTATGATAAATATACAAATATTCATCACTTTATTCTTTGAATAATTCTTGTAATTCAAATTAATAATGTTTTGGTGATATAAAACATGATTAATTCTATTTTTTCCTCTTTTCCTTTAACACTAACATTGTTTACAATTTATAACTCTTTAAATCTTCAATTTTTGCTGATTGTTCAGCTAACTAATTTTCAATTTTCATTCCTAATTCTATCCTACTCAAAATTTTTGATTAATAATTTTAATCACTTTATCTTCTTAATTAAATATTTTATTGTACCACCTCAATAGTTATATTATTATACTTCTGCCAATCTTTTCCATCTCAATTTGGCTTTTTCTTTTGCTGCTTATCTCTTTATTTATATTGTAAAATCTTCGTGTCTATTTCTAACTTTTTTAGTTTATTATAATGGCTAATTAATGCTCAAAGGAAAACATTTGAATTTAACAAATTCTTGTTCATTTATATTTCCACATAAAAATTTAGAAAATGATTATCTAATTCTTTGATTCTTTGGTAGTGTAATCTATTCCAAAGGAGTGTAATTTATCATCTCTTCTGGAGCACTCAATAATACATTTCTTCTCTTTCCTTCCTTATTTTTTGATGGAGTTAGACATAAAGGAGTTCCGCAATTTGACATTCTTTTTTTATTATAAATTATTATAATTGTATAAATTATATTTAATCAACAATTACATTTAATTTTAAATATCTGTTAATTTAACAAATCAATAAATACAATATATTATAAACATAAACAATTAATCATAAGCTTTCTAGTATTCCTAAAACATCCTCCATAGCTATCTATTTAAGCATTTAATTTCTATTCATCTTTTATTTTCTTTTAGATTAGAATTTTTTAATTTTCTAATAATAATAATATTAAATTAGTACCTTAACTTTTCCGAATATATTAATGGAATTTTAATCTTTAATTAATTGAATTATATCATTCCATCCAATATTTGATGTATCGAAGAATTTTAAATTGTTTAAGTTTTATTATTCTTTCATTATCTTTTCATCGATTTGATTAGATAATGATTCTTCAACTGATATTAAGTTATTTTTCATGCTTTAATTTGATTCTGATTCACTTTAATTTAATGATAAGAATTTCATTCAGAAATGATAAAATTTTCTGTCCGTAAATTTTATTTATTTATTTTTTTTTAAGAATTTCCAAATAAATTGGTAGGATCCAAGTATATTTTTAAAATATGATCCCCACTTCCTTCTCTTTCTTTATCTATTTTTCATATATAATCTCAAAAATCACATAAGTGATAATAAAATTGATTTCAATCCTAATTTCAATTTAAATTACAAAACCTTTATCTTCCTCATCATTTCATCATTATATTTGTTAATATCACCAAAATAATGTATCTAATCTTCTTAGACATTTAAATAAACATTCCAAATGTATTATTTTCAGCCTAAAATTTTAAGAATATTTTCTTCTTGCTAAAAGTATCGTTTTAGTTAGCTTATTATTTATATTATTTTAACACTATTTATTAAGTTATTAGACATTTATTGTGAATAATGATGGAGATCTAAAATTATATAATACATCATCTATCTGATGATAAATATTCTAATTTTCAGGATATTAATGACTTTATGCTCAATTATTTACTTTATTGAATACTAATTAAGAAATCAATATCCATTTAACATATAGTTAAAGACTTCATTTCAAAACTATTTAGCATTCTATTTATTTAAATTTAATGATATTTTTAATACATTTCATTAATTGAGATAATTTTGATTAATTATATTAAATAGATGCTTATTTTAATATAATTTAATATAATCATATTTCTTTAATATCAATTTTTATATAAATCAGTACCAAATTTGTGATATATTTTAGTTTTACAAATTTTTTGATAGATTAGATTAAATTCATAACAGTAAAATTAAATAAATGTAATTATTCTAAAATTATTGATTAATTTAAAAAGAAATGATTAAAAACATTTAGAGAATACAATATTAAAATTAACTAATATTTTCTCATAAGCTTTTTTAGACAAATTATTCAAACTCTTAAAGTGATATAAAACCATCTTTATTAGTATCAGCTACATCTAACCAAGCTTAAACATCTTTATAAGTTGGTTAAGCTAATCCCATAGATCTGTATGCTTCAGTGATCATCTTTTATATTTCCTGTACATTTAAGAAACCAGAATTATCAGTATCATATTTCCTAAATACTCTTCTTGCTACTTCAATTCTAGGATCTTAAGGTTTATTAATTTATTATCTTGATTGCTAAGAGTATTAAGGACATAAATATTTGATGCATAATTCTTCTATGTCTTAATATGTAACTTTGCCATCTCCATTTCTATCCATGACTTTTGAATAACTATCTATATCTCCTCTTGTTGGTTAAAAACTTCTGTTAAATGATTTATATGCATCAACTATCATAGGTATAGTTTCAGTTGTATCAATAACTCCATTTCTATCTCTATCATATGTCTCAAATAATTTCTTTGCTACTATTTTTGCACTTTCTAAATCACTCATACTTGCTGATCCAATTCGATAATCCATTAATTCAAAATTAAATATATTGTTTATTAAATAATCATGGATTAAAATGATAGATATGATAATGAGAAAGTTCTAAAGTTATTGACAGAAGCAAATCAATTCTTTGAATAGAATAGAGATTACCCTCCTTATTAAATAGGTGAATTTTTGGTTGAATTTTGTAAACTATTCAAACAATTGGGAAAATTACTATATTTTGCATTTTCAGATGTTATTGAAAAAGCATAAGTCATCAAAGATAGAGGAAATGAATATAATGAATAAACTAAAGGAATCTATGGAATTATATAAATAGAGAAATAAAAAGGATTAATGGAATTAAATGGAGAAAATAATAAAGAGATCTTAAAAAATAAAGTAACATAAATCCATTAAATAATATATAATAGACTTTACCTAATTATTAATCTATGGCTAGAACAATGTTGAGAATTATTAGATTCTTTAATTATTTGAAGATTATGTTTATTGATGTTGATACAAATAGAAATAAGAAGTTTTCAGATATCTGTTCAGATGCATATACTGAAGCCTTGGCACCTTATCATACGTAATTAATTCATATTTATTTATAGATTTATGGTAAGGAATGCTGCCAAAGCTGCTTGGTTAGCTGCTCCAAGTAGAACTAAAGTCTTTGAAACTTTTGTAGGACCAAATCAGACTGATGAAGTTGCTTATGCAGCAATTAAAAAATTTGTAAATGCTCTTGAACCAATCAGACTCAACTTTTGGGATTATTATAATTCTAACAAATTAACAAATTTGCCATGAAAATATCATATACATAAAATTAATCATATATTTTTAATTCCACATAATGTACGTAATTATTCCCAAACAATAAGTTATATAATATTAAATGGTCCAAATCTTATCCATTAAGGGAAAAACCCTTTATAAAATGCACCTAGACCTTCTTATTTAAATGTCTTAATTGCACAATCCATCAATCCATTATATACTTTATGACCAGCATCTTATGACATAATTCTTGTTTTAATTAAGTCCATAGGTGCAGTTGTAATAGATAGCATTAATCCTATATTTATATATAATATTTGAATACCTGTAGCAAATGAACATACAAATTAAAGACTAAATCCTTCTTTGAATTCAAAATGCTCCTTTAACCATTATTTTGTTTAATCATAAGTGGCCATTTTAGTTCCTGTAAGTATTGCACCTCTAAGTAAATTAGGCATAGTGCCCTTATACAAACCTAGAATTCCTTCATGATGTAATATTTATGTAATTTCAGCAAATACTGATTAATGATGACCAGAGATAGATTACAATCTAATTTTTAAACTAATCAATAATTATTAATAATTTTTACACATCACATGGATTTGCAACAATAGCTCCTGTTGATCCAGACATTAAACCTGCAAAAAACTTGACTCCCAATGATGTCTTCTCTCCATCTTAGGATATCATGTGCTTAAATGGTTCATACAATCCAAGTCTCAATGTTGAATAAGTAGCTTCTCTACCTAATGATGCTGATAATCCTTTGTATAATGCACGTAATCCTTCTTCTTTGTATATTACATATGATCCTCTTAAAATATTCTTGTATTTTTTGACATCAGATTTTCCTTCACCTTCCTTTTACAATCTAACTTTGACTGTGTCAACTGGATGAGTAGATCCACCTGCAGCTATCGATGCTATTCCTGCCAAAAACATTCTTAAAATTGGCTTATTCTCTTCTGGACCTATAGAATTCATTTTATTTATTGCGAATTAAATAATCAATAATCATCATGATATCTTTAATTACTCTTGATTTACTAATTCCTTTAAAATTGACTTCTAATTTTTTTTAATATTGTTTTTAAGCAATATATATTTTCCATAATCCTAATTACAATCTTGAAAATTAATAAATTTTCTAATTTTACCATTATTTATACATATATTGAAATTTATTGTGCTTTTTTGTATATATACTTATTTTTTCCTAAGACAAGAAATATAGAAAATTGTTAGTAAAAAATTGTTATTTTTGAAAACACTACACTATTCATTAATACAATATTTTTTATTTTTAATCTCTATAAATTCACTTTATATTTCATATAAAATATATAATTATATATTTTTAAGTATTTTATATATACAGAAATAAATAAAATCGAATATTGCTTATTCCTTAAAAAATAATTACTGATATTTCAATTATTCATTGTAAGTATTATTAATTATCTTAATTAACTATGATCAGTTAATTTTTTCAATAATTATAAATATTTAAGATGTTAAGTAATTTCTATAATCATATTCCTTTTTAATACTTTTTAATGATAAATATTAAAATCAAAATGACTAATTAGCATCATCTAAATATTCTTGTATTCATAAAAATAAATTAACATCATATGAATACAGATAACTTAATGATTCAACTTTACCTTAATAAAAATTCATTATCGAAAATTTCGAGATTATACATTATTCAAAAGTTCTAAATTAGAGCTTTTATATTTTACATAATCCCAATCAGATAATTTTAATTTTTATATATACATATACGTTTATTATTAAATACTATTGATTGATTTATATTCATTTATTAAAATTTGTATAGAATCTCTAGAAAAATCATGCTTTAAGATTGTCAAATGTGGCAATTCGATTGATTTTTAAAGTAAAATGTGAGATATAAGGAATTGTTACTTATTGCATAAAAGAAAGTATATAATATATAATATAATTTGAAGTAAGTATTTAATAACATAAGTATAAACAATACTTATAATTTGAAATTACAGATTTTTATCTAAGCTGTGGTTTAATTTGTAAACAGTTTAAAATAAGCTGCTTATTGAGAAAATTATTTAATCATAATAATTTAGAATGAAGGTAGTTAAAGTATTTGAAAGCTAATTTCTATTGTCCATTAATTTATTAATTGACATAAGCGAAAGTAAATTTAAAGTAAAAAATACAATTTTTATGAGATTTATAGATAACTATTATTACAAAGGGTAATCCTTAAATAGTAATATAAAATCATAATTTACAATTATATTTAGTTGAATAAAGTATCAATTCTTTAGATTCATAACTATTATAATTTCCAAAAAGACTTTTATAATTACTAGTTTTTTTTTTCTGAGAGTTAATTTATGAAAATCATTAAAATTAATTAAAACTTTATTCATCAATTTTGAATAAAACAAGAATTTGAAAAGCTATATGTCTTAACAATAATAGATTTATTAATTGTTTTTGTTTATCACATCGAAAATAATTTGATAATTTATTAATACTTTTAGTCCTGAAAGAAGGTTCAGTAGATAATAATTATAAAATACTGAAATTTTTATTTTAACTCAAAAATTATGACAAAGTATATGCTGTCCTTTTTCAATCGCACATATTATTTAAAGATTTAATAGCTTCACAAACAAAAATACCAAAATTATCGTAAAATTTTAACAAAATTGTCCTCATCTTAATTTTTTATCTCTTTTGTTTTATCACATTTTATAAATCATAAAATATAAAAACCAAAACATAAATATTATGATATTGCAATTTTTATTTATCTAATTAACTCAAGGAATAATCACATAAACAGCTGGCGCTTTTAATGAGTTCGTATGGAACGCCCCAGGATTTCTCTGCCAAAATGGATTCACAAAAACTGGTAATATCAATTTTTAGGATTCTTTTGCAAATATACCTAAAATAATAATTGTTCCAAATGTTTTGGATATAACACCTGTATTTACAAATCAAATAATTGTATAAATAGATATAGTAAGTGTCACTTTAACAGGTTTTATATTAATTTTATATAGGTTTTTCAATTAAAATAACATGTCCAAATAATAAAGTAGGTACTTATCAA